ATATATATATATATATATATATATATATATATATATATATATATATATATATATATATGCGCATATAACACCATATGGTTACGGGTCAATGTACATGATTGCAATGCATGAAAAGTACGTTAATAAAATCTTTCGGAATGTCATAAGACCATTTTGCCTTTGAGTAATATCATAAAGTAAACTCTTTTCAGCTTTCACATTTTTCTGAGACCCATGAACAGATGATAAAATATTATGACACATGGAAATTCAATAACATAGATATCTCTAATACTTCTACGAATAGAGTCATTTATGGAATTTGTGCATTTGCACGTTTCGTTTGTATCGTATGGGTCATGCCAAAAGAAAGAAGTGATAGCCTTAACATACCTGGAGTAGAAAAAAATCCGTGTGATATTCTTGAGAAGGATTACACGTACTCCCTTAGAATCGAAAAATCCCATTGCTATTATAATATGGAGTGACTATCGTCCTTGGCTTTGTATTCGAGTTCAGTAAATCGAGGCTCTATGTTGTCCTGGATGAAGAGAGTGTTCACAACTTCTTTCCGACTCATGTATTGCCGTAGACACTGCTCTATCCGATTTTGCACCATTTGTATATCTTCACAAGAGACTTTTCTTCCATCTCCGCTCGACATTTTTGAGGCTCCAACACTTGGAACTATTGCAATAAAGCTCTATGCCAATATTTCAGTAGAAGTGTACACCCAGCTTATGCGTACCATCAATGAGTATATTGTAAAAGGTTGTCACTTACACCTACTGTCCAACTTCACTACTTGAGAGCGTAAATATTCACAAATTGAGAGAAAGTGTTTGAGCAAAGGAGTCTGAATGAAGAGTTGCAAGTATAATAATATAATAAGAGCTCTTTGCATTTTGGCATTTTGTATAACCCACTTACATACATAATTTTGTATGATTCACTTCAAGGCTTAAATCTAAGACAAATTTGCTAAATGTCCTACTAAGGAGACACCTTGCCATGTCTCTTGTGAGTCATGTAATGGCTTTTGTTGCCATATTCTAGGGCTGCCACGTTTTGTGGTCCAAGCCTTATCCAAAATCATCCTTAATTAACCACTAATCTCATGGTTAATTTGATAATCTCCCTCTATTTAATAATTAATCAATTACCCACATAATTAAGAATTATCTCAAGTTACTTAAAATACTACTCACTTTTCACATACCTTATACACCTTACTATTATCGTCATGTGGTACCGTATATGGTACTAGTCTATAAATACCGAGTATTTTAGCTCGAGCCGTATTTTATCCCAACATGCCAAACTTGGACGAAAATTCATTTTCTTTGACTTGCTTCCCCTTTCATCTTTACGAATTTACTTATTACTTGTAAAATATCATAATCCTTATAAACTCCGAATAAACTTTCCTTGGACTGATGTCAATTACCTTACGACAAATTCAATGTACAATACTACAGGGTGCAACACTGTCGTAACTTAATACTGTGAAGCGTAACATCATCATGATGTAATACTGTAGAGGGTAATATCATCGTAATATATTACTGTAGAGCATAACATCGACGCAATACTGCGGGGCGTAACATTATTCCCCCATTTGGAACATTCGTCCTCGAATGTTGACTGATGCACTTATCATTTTCATAACTTATATCTTCCGAATAGTTTAGAACTTCCCTTGCCATCTAGGCGACTTATCTGTGAATAAGTCCAAAGTCCAGGGCATTCCCCCCTTAGGCCTCCTTCTCACACCACAACTTGTAGCCGGAATCCTTCCAATCTCGTAACTGTTGCTACCTTTCATCATGCAGCATGTACGATTTTGACCTTGTAAGTGTGCCCAATCTCTAGGCTTCATATGTAGAGCTTGATAAGATTTCCCTTTGGGAATCTATGAGTATACTGAAGTTTTTTGCTTGATACTTTGTTGAATTCAGGAATATTGGTATATCTTATCGCATAGGTCCGTTTAGCCATCAGTATGAATTTACTGCAATAACTCTTACTTTAATTTATCGTTGCTGAGGTCTGCTACCAAATCCCAGCTTACTCTCGTTGCTTATTCCATATGTTTAAATTTAAGTCCTTTATTGCTTCCTCATTACTGCTCATCTTTAGAATGACGGCCTAATCTCATCTCATACTTTGTGACTTTTGTCCACCCATTGTTGGTTCACCTCAATATTTATCTACAATATACCACTGATAATTTGAAACTTCTTACGTAATACTTTGCCACTAGGGCTTACATTACATCAAGGAATATTCGAAGTAATTTTACTGATCCACTTAGCGGCAACAATGTGCTCCAATAACCGTATTCGATAGCATCCCAAGGTGATTCTCTTACGTGGGTATTTTAATCCCGTACAATTCATGAATCCCTTTTCTTTTTTTTCAAATCATTACTCAATCGAAGGCCCAAACGCCATCCATTATCTATCACAATTACACCTTTATTCTACTATTAGGGCAGCATTCCATCTCTTCTAAATGATACTTATGAAGAGTAACTCCTTTGAGTCTATTCAGGCTATACTGAGTTTACTATAACATAGAGGATCCATTAGCTCCCTTGTTTTCATGGGCCTAATCCTGAGGACTAATCCATTCTCGCCACCTTCTCACCACCCTTTCTTATCCGTATTCCTGTCTTCCTAAAACCTTGTCGTTTTACCATACTTTAGCTTGCGACCTATACATATCTATTTATACTACTCGTAATCTTCCTTCAACTTGCTTGAATTTCCTTGTGTAATTTTAGAACATCAAGCGAGACATCACATTGTCTCTAACTCTTCTTTACTTTCTTAACTAGACCTCTCGATACCTAGAAATCATTGACTAGAAGATATGCCACTGGCGATGCCGCTATCATTCTTGGATATTGAATCCCCGTGCTTCTGGCCTTTTATCCGAAGTATGGACTATTTACGATCTTCTGCCATTGAGTATCTCGTACGTAGTTCACCTTTACCTTAATTACCTTAAAATCTCGCATCGTATCTTCTATCTCTCTCATGACCTCCCTTCCACCTAGGTGTAATTCACGTCCATAACTTGAAGCTCTATTATAATACTTGCACCTCTGGTGCATACACAATCCTGTGGGAGTTTCATACTGACTTCTTATGAGATCGGTATCCTTCTAACTGGCTTTATCGTATAGCCCTTTTAGAACATAGTTGTTGTACTATCTCTCTTGCACCTATAATATTAATAGTGGTTCTACTATGTTCTCAATCATGATTCCTATAATTTCTGGTCCAATAATTAGATTCTTGATTTACTTTGTTGATGTAACTCTTTAGTTTCCTTCTTCTTCTGATCGGCCTTTATGCTGGCTTAAGTTATCTTCCAATCTGTGGCTCATGGTATTAGTTATTACTTTAGCCCTCCATGGACGCTATGGAATATCCATGATACAATCTTCTAACAATTCATTCCTTTGTCTATGATCTGGGCTCAATTTTTTCTTTTAATTTATGCCGGAATCTTTTACGGCTGTGTGATTGTAGACATATATGATGTATGGATAATGCTCAAAAATCTTGAGTGTATCAATAATGTACTAATTCTGGATCATTGATCGAATAATTCCTTTCGTTCCATTTTAGCTTTCTTTCAACGTAAGCTATTACTTTTCCTGGTCTTTCCGCCCCCTTGTTGCGTCCATACTTAGCTTATCTTAGTGCCCACACATGCCAGAGTTTTCGTGCAACTCATATGATCTCGAATATTACTTTTAATTTTACTTCCCGTTCATTAGTCACGGTAGGTGCCACTTTCCTTTGGAGTGCTATAATGCTGTTGTGAGACTGTTGTTACACGATCATTTCCTCTTTAGGTCGTTGTGCTTAAATTAAAGCCTTCTTTCTTATTTCCTCAGCTAGTCTTTCGTTGTAGTACTTAGGGAGAACCCTTGACCCTCGTAAAGATGTGTGCTTATTACGGACCTTTTGATGTCCTTCTTTGCCTATAATTATCCGTAGTTGCTTACCTCCATGCCCTTGTGCTTGTAGGGTTGCTTCTGAACTGATATTTTGATTACCTTCCCAGTGGCACTTTCTTTTATCCCCGTAACACTTATACAGTACATTTAACTACCCCATCCCCTGTTTGAATATATCTCAAGTATTATAATGACATTACTGCGAGACTAAATTCTCGATGTTAGGGTTTACGACATTTATCTTCTATGATCTGCTGATTTTTCTGTAACTTCTTGTCTAGTCATGATTAGGCTCTTCCTGAATCAACTACTAACTGCTCGTCGGCCCATTCTCACGTTCATATTCCGCGTAATCTTTCTTGGGTTACTTTCTTTGTCTTAACTTACCTCACGTACTGGCTCCTTATTTATCACTAATATCCCGGGCAGGAATCCTTACTCGCCTTGCGGTAATCTTTCTGTACGAAGGATAACAAAATTCCTCACTCGCGATGGTGACACTTAGTGTAACTGGCACATACAGTACCTTAAGCTCAACTTTTCTCATATTGCTTACTTTAGGGAAGCTTCTCCCTGACTGACCATTCGTTAATCAAGTTCTTCAACAAAATACTCCCACCTCCAATTTGAAGAATACATTGGTTCTTCCCCATCATATGGAAGTGTTTCACTTGATTCAATAGTCTAATTTGACTCCTATTTAGGAGATCGATTACTAGTTTCCCAGCTGCGAAAGCGCAAAATATTGATTGATTTTCAGGTATTTTAATTGATAAATCTTGCATTTTTCTACAAGCCTACTTGAATCTCCACTTGAAGGCGAAAAATCTGTTGCATGAATGTGCCATTAACATCTAGTCGGTTGTTGGTATGTTTATAGAATTAGGCGCAACCAGTAAGTTTTATTTTCTGATGTTTTCATTCTTCAGGGGGTAAGATTAGGTAATAATGTAGTTGTGTCAAACTGGAGACAATTTAGTGAATACAGTTTAGCTTCTTGAGCTTAAAACTGTAAAATTTATATTATTATATAGTTAAAAAGAATTAATTGAATTTTGGTGAACATTTCTTTGAGTCTTTCACAATGCTTTATGTTCTTCATTTTTAGTTCTATCTGGTTCTAAAGGTGAAAGAGATCTTTGATTTCTGTATGGTTTTCATACCAGATATTTCTTATTTTAAGTCCAAAAATTTATAGGATCTTTCCTGTATGTATAGTGTACATTTCTCTCCAGAAATCTTTTGGTTTTAAGTCCAAAAGTTTATGCCATTTTCCAAAAATCACACACTATTGGTAAACTGAGACTGCTTCATTGGTGTTGTGGAAAGCTGATGTGATATTCTACAGTGTCTAAGCTGATGTTACATATGAGTATAGGGTCTGCCTCAATCTAAGGTGATGGGAATTTGATTTTTCTGTGTGATTTGAAGTTCTTTTGATGCTAGGGTGTTGTAAAGGTGATAGCGAAAGATCTTATAAGGACGAGGCATCAGATTGAAAAATTTTACAAGCTTAAATCCCAATTTCAAGGTGTCTCGCTCAGAATTCAGGTACTTATGAAATTTGTACTTCTTATAGGTTAGTTCTTCAAAATTGTTGCTGTTCATGAATCATGAGAATAAGCACCTTGTTATGTGTGGATTGTTTGTACCGAAAGCTTACTACTTTATATAACTGTATTCCTTGATTTCATTCCTGAACAGTCCCTTCAGTAACTTCTGCAATTTTGACAACTAGTTTTTGATTCTACTTCAAGGAAATTGTTGTAATATATTGGTGTTAAGTAAATAGTTGTCTACTCACTCTGTATTTTTGTTGGTTGAGTTGGTATATACATACATGGAAGTTGCTATGGCTATAAACTACATTGATGAAAGGGTTGGAAATAGTATCATAGCCTTCTATTCCTGTTTAACACATTCTGATGAAAGGGTTAAGCCATTTCGACAATTCAATAGCAAATGTGACTCCAAAACTGGGTGTAACTTGACTGTGACTATGCAAATGCATTCTTTGTTATGGGATTTTCAAGTTTGGTAGTGTTTATGATTATAGATGGCTTTTGTTGTATGTATTTATTGCTTCATAGTTAATATTCTCTATTCTAATAATAGAGAACTGATATTTTCTCTTTATATTTTGTAAGGTTCATCAGCTGCACTTGAAAGTTACTACTTTTCTATGGATAAATCTTGGATTAGAAAGCCAAGGAACACGACGGAATATTTATTTGGTTTAGATCAATTTTTAGATTTTGCATTTGCTAATGCTGTTGTTGGAGATAGAATAAAGTGTCCTTGTCCTAAATATGGATTCGCAGAGTGGCAGACTAAAATTTATGACCATTGAGAAAGTTTCACGAGGATATGTGTATCGCTCTATTGCAAAGAAGTGGGATGCAAGTAGGCAGAAGATGTGGTATGAGTTTAAAGACCCACTTAAAACCAAAGATGAGATTATGGATAATGTTCCTGTAGGTATTACTCGGGATCAATGGACTTCCTTTGTGAACTACCGTTATAAAGAAGAAACTCAGGTATTTTTATGAAACGTCATATTGAAATGCATAAAAATATGATTATTCATTTATATAATTGACTGAAATGTATCTTATTGTTAGAACATGTGTAAAAGAAATGCTGAAAATTGGAAGAACCAAACAGTTCCACACACTGGTGGCTTCGAACCTAATTTTAGAAGAAGGGCTGAAATGGTGAAAGATGTTACATTATTTACCTTACTTTACTATTTAAATTTAGATATTGTATCTATTTCTTTCACTTTGATTAAACTATTCTGACTTATTTTTATTTTCATATGGCTGAGACAGGGAGTAAGCCTGGACGAGCACAACTTTATCTTGCTACACATACGAAACAAGATGGATCATATGCAAATGAGGAGGCAAAAGAAATGTGTAAGTTACTACTTTGAGACTTCTAAGAATTAGCGCATTTTTAGATTATTTCAAGAACTTTTTTTTTATTTTTGAAAACAAGCTCCCTAAATGACAGAGATATTAGAAAGCTTTTATCTGTTGTAGGCAGTCCTTCGCAGTTCTTATGTTGAATTGGTATTGATCATTTTATTTACTTCTTCATATATCTTTTTAAATGGACAATAAGTTTATGTGAATTTTCTCATGAGAATAGCTTGCTGCTAGCTTTATTTTTTGCAATTTTCTGTGTGTACGTGCTTGTTGTTTCTCGCCTCTCTAAACTTATTGTCCATTTGGAATTGTACAAAGGTCTATGCTGCCACTAATTTGGCCAACTGAATTGGGAAACACAATGAGTGTATCTGCTTTAGGCAGGAAGAAGAAAGCATTATAGTGTTGATATGTCCTAAGGGTAATAGAAAAAGGACTCAACTTGTTAAGACTATATGGTGTCATCAACAATGATGATTTTTTTCCAATTTTGCACTTCTGTTTTCCTCTCAAGAGTTTGTGTATCAGCTTCAATACTCACTGCAACTGCTTGATGCAGACAACATATATTTTATCTCAATGACTTGTTTCCTAATACTCCTCTTAATACTTGTGCTTTTTTTAATACTTTTTGCTGCAGCCAAGTGATGCAGCTAGTGGACCCGTTTCACCGACGGATGCAAGAAGATCTTCTGGCGCTAGTAATAGCGCCAATCCCTGTGACCATAGAGATTCATTTTAATTGAAGTGGATGTATTAAGACAATGTAATAGCTTACTAATATAGACGGTTAACTATGTTCTAATTTAGCTTGATGACATATGATACTACTCTGTCATAGTATTTTTCACGGTTAATGAAATGTTGATGTTTCTTAATTTTAATGTTTTGGTTTAAGCATAAATATTTCAATTGATATTAGGGAAAGGGTATGGCGAATTGATGAAAAAAATCAATTCTATAATATATTTAGAAATAGATGTGGATAATTAAAAACCCCAAAGAGAAATAGATCAGATCCTAGGGTGTACACATAAGAAATTGCGGGGGTTTACAACCCCCACACTCAAAAAATATATTAAATTTTAAAAATAATAATCTACTTTCGCGCATGAAATTGCGGAAGTTAAAATTGCAGTTTGCAGAGGTTAGAAACGTTCGCTATATGCTGTCACGGCGGTTCGGGAAACCCGCGCATTTATCTGCCACAAATAATAGTGGCGATGCTTACTGCGGGGGTCTGCTCAACCGCCGTGACAGTAAATAGCAAAGATTTATAACATCTGCAAACTGCAATTTTAACCTCCGCTATTTACCCGTTTTTTTTTTTTTTTGTAGTGAAAAGATGATAAAATATTATGGCACATGGAAATTCAAGAACATAGATATCTCTAATACTTCTATGAATAGAGCCATTTATGGAATTTGTGCATTTGCGCGTTTCGTTCGTATCGTATGGAACATGCCAAAAGAAAAAATGAATAGCATTAACATACCTAGAGTAGAAAAAAATCTGTGTGATATTCTTGAGAAGGATTACACGTACTCCCTTAGAATCGAAAAATTGCGTTGCTATTATAATATAGAGTGACTATCGTCCTTGGCTTTGTATTCGAGTTCAGTAAATCTAGGCTCTATATTGTCCTGGATGAAGAGTGTTCACAACTTCTTTCCGACTCATGTATTGCCGTAGACACTGCTCTATCCGATTTTGCACCATTTGTATATCTTCACAAGAGACTTTTCTTCCATCTCCACTCGACATTTTTGAGGCTCCAACACTTGGAACTATTGCAATAAAGCTCTATGCCAATATTTCAGTAGAAGTGTACACCCAGCTTATGCGTACCATCAATGAGTATATTGTAAAAGGTGGTCACTTACACCTATTGTCCAGCTTCACTACTTGAGAGCATAAATATTCACAAATTGAGAGAAAGTGTTTGAGCAAAAGGAGTCTGAATGAAGAGTTGCAAGTATAATAATATAATAAGAGCTCTTTGCATTTTGGCATTTTGTATAACCCACTTACATACAGAATTTTGAATGATTCACTTCGAGGCTTAAAGCTAAGACAAATTTGCTAAATGTCCTAATAAGGAGACACCTTGCCATGTCTCTTATGAGTCATGTAATGGCTTTTGTTGCCATATTCAAGGGCTGCCACGTTTTGTGGTCCAAGCCTTATCCAAAATAATCCTTAATTAACCACTACTCTCATGGTTAATTTGATAATCTCCCACTATTCAACAATTAACTAATTACCCACTTAGTTAAGAATTATCTCAAGTTACTTGAAATACTACTCACTTTTCACATACCTTATACACCTTACTATTATGGTCATGTAGTACCTTGTATGGTACTAGTTCATAAATATCGAGTATTTTAGCTCGAGCCGTATTTTATCCCAACATGCCAAACTTGGACGAAAATTCATTTTCTTTGACTTGCTTCCCCTTTCACCTTTACGAATTTACTTATTACTTCTAAAATAGCATAATCCTTATAAACTCCGAATAATCTTTCCTTGGACTGATGTCAATTACCTTACGACAAATTCAACGTACAATACTACAGGGTGCAACACTGTCGTAACTTCATACTGCGAAGCGTAACATCATCGTAATGTAATACTGCAGAGGGTAATATCATCGTAAAATATTACTGCAGAGTATAACATCGACGTAATACTACAGGGCGTAACAATCGGAAAGGGGTTAGACCAAGGGAAAGATAATTTGAGAAAAAAAAGAGAAAGCAGGGTATAAAATAATCATCGACAAACATGTACTTACGTCTCATGTTCCACTTCTCGGGTAACGGTATCCAATCAGCAGGAATCAGGTTGGAGGTCCTGACTTGGACAAACCGGCTCATCTACCCTCGGTCTTTGTAATCATCGATACTGGAGAAGAGAGATTTCAAGGATCGGCGTTGCAGTTTTATCAAGCCACCTCGATAAAGTCAAGGATTGTACAGTCTAATCAGATGGTTGAGGGTGAAAGGCATCCCTCGACCTGACTCGAAAAGAATCTGATCAAATGAACGATTCTCCAGAATGAAGGGTAGATCTGGCCAAGCGTCACTTGGTATCGTTGGCAAAAGTCGAGAATAACTGTATTGGCCCAAGATCAGTTGAAGTTTTGAAGAATGACAAACGAACTCAGTGAAGGACCAGGTTCATCTAAGGAGACACAGTTGTTATGGCCCATACACATGAGATGCACGTGAAGAAGATAAGTCCTGAGATCAAGCAGCAATATCTTGATGAATATCTTCTGAACTGATTGACAAGATTGCATATAGGATAAGGAGTTGAAGTCTCCTTAAAAAAAGAGAATTACATCCGTATCAAGAATATGGATTAGGAGTTAGAGTTGTTCTTGGACTCGAATTGTCAAAGGATCCACAATTCGAGTTCTTATCAAACTCTGATCACTAACTCTATAAATATAACGATTGTTCTCTTTTACAGGTGAATGCACATAAGCAGAAGTTAATCATATTTGAGAGCAAAAAGATCAAGTCTGATTTGCAAGCAACATATGCGAGATACAAGTGTGCACGTCTGAAGCTACATGAACTAAGATAGAAGAACCAGTTTCATCATTGTTTTTATTCTAAGTTTAGTTCAATTGTAGTAGGTTTTCATATTGTACCTTTCAGCTTTCTTAGAAGCAATTGTGTTAGGTACTCTGAGTATTCAATTTAGAGTTAACTTGAAAGTGTCGCAACAGTTGAGGTTGTGTGCTACACTGGGATTAGAGTTAATCCTTAGGTTTACAAAGAGTTTTGTAAATGCAGTTTTTGGCTCAGTGATTTTAGTGGAGTTTGGGAAAATCCTACTGAGTAGTAGGTCGTGGTTTTTTCACCTTTTGAGCCAGGTGTTTTCCACGTAAAAATCTCTGTGCACTTTACTTTCAGTATTTATTATTCCGCAAACTGCTGTAGTTAGAACACTTAGAAGAACCAGGTTCTTCTAACGCGAAAATTAGGTACCACACAAATCACCCCCCCCCCTCCTCTTGTGTGGTATTGACGTTTATAACATCAAAAACCTCCATTAGAAACTCCATAAAAAAAATCAGTAGAAACCTTCATTAAAATGCAGGTGAAAAGATGCTAAAAACAAAGCAAAATAGATGTAAAAATTACACAAAAATGCAGCAAAACAATTGCAAATATCACCCAAAAATGCAGCAAAACAGCTGTAAAAATAACCTTCCCAAAGCTGTTGCAAAATGCAGCAATTCTCCTTCCCAAACACGTAAAAAAATAGGAGAAATAGAAGAAAGAGAAGATGTGTAACACTTGGTATGGACTTACCTTGATTGTTACTGCTGACGATTGAACTTTTCCTTCATTCTTTGTTGCATCCTCTGTTCCATTTCCTCTATTTTTTGTTGCATCATCTTATCAGTAGAATCTACAGAGGATCTAAAATCTCTCATTTTCTTTTTTAAGACAGTCTTGGTAACTCCTCGACCATACAATCTTTTGCGACCTAGATGCTCAGGTCACATGACTGATGCAAAAGCGTCAACTTAATCACTGCCATCTTCACTTTCTTGAGTTGATTGTATTCTCACCATTTCAGCCTACAAACCAATGCAAGAGAAAAGAATTAAGAAAATAAAATTGAGTCTATAACTAAGAACAAATTAACTTAATAGATTATCTGAAACGAGTAAGCATGTGATAATGGACATCAACTAATTACTCATTGTTTTCCTATCATCTTTATGAACAAAATGGATAAATGACATGAAATGTCAATATTCAAACTTCTAAAGCTATTTGTGCATAAAGAGAGTACACAAATCAAGAGCTTGTGATGTCCATTTCTTCTAATTAGATGGATCTAAATCCAACTTAAATGACATGAATATATTTTCAACGGTAACCATGTACATGGCAGAACATTGATAGAAACCACATATTCACTCCTTCAAACGAGGGGAGGAAGCCTGATACCAGTAAGCTTTTAGATGAACTACAGTGACATATGAGTTCATTTTCAGGCATGACACCAGAGCAATACCCAAAGATATGGATATCACATGCTAAAGAGCAACAAACACTCTTAAATGACTACCATCAAACCATCGAGTGATTCACAATTATATAATAGAGAATAAGTGCCTTCCCCTTATCAGATATGTGCACAGACATCTTAGATTATAGATACTAAAGGTCATATATTTTAGAATACTCAAAGAGACCTCTGCATATGGCAGAAAGACCATATATGAACTATTTAGTGTATTGCTTGAAGGAAAATCATTTACTGCATCACATATTTAAAGAGCTGACGAGTACAAAACTAGTAAACTATACTAAAAACCACAGCAAACATTAAATTAGAAATTTCTTATAGTTTTACTAATTGTATTCTCATATGAGCCTTTGTATACTCGACCATGTTTTCTTTTCCTTGTAGACACAAAGATGTCCTCACTTGATAGAGTATCCGAATTATCAACGATTTCCTTCTTTTTTGCCTAGATACATAAAAGCTGGTACAAGAATCTTTTTTTATGCAAAGTTAGCAAGTTCATAGTTAAAAAAAAGAGAAAACAACAAACCTCGCAAATTAGAGCGTAACTTTTTGCAAACAGTGTGTGGATACCTCATCTTTTTTCGATTCTCGGTATTGATTTTGGACGTTTTCTGCACATAAATAAGTCAATCAACACACTTTTGGTAGCAGCCCACTCTTAAAACCAATTCGTGAAACATAATGGAGTTGTGAAATAGCTAACAACTAGCCAATCTCATATTTTTTCTGATCATTAAAATCCCTTATTAACTGAATATTCCAACCAGATTCAGTATAACATTCTGAACAACACAATCTTTGAACAAGAAAGTATTTCA